CAAGATTGGAATTGTTTCTTTTGAGCTACTTGAAATATTTTATCTTTGATTTGGGAGCTCTGGAATTTGGCTACAATATTCCTGGGAGTTTTCATTTTGGGATCTCTTTCAGGAGGTGATTGGTGGATCCTTTCAATTTCTATTTTACCCTCTGTAAGATATTGGGGCTTTATAATTTCTTGAAATATAACATCTTGACCCTTTTTATGATCATGACCTTCAGGTAGTACAATAATTCTTAAATTATCTTTCCTTAATCTATTTTTCAGGTCAGTTGTTTTTCCAATGAGGTAGTTCACATGTTTCTTCTATTTTTTCATTCTTTTGACTTTGTTTCATTGTTTCTTGCAATTCCATGGAGTCATTAGCTTCTAGCTACCCAGTTCTGCTTTTTAAGGAATTCTTTTCTTCAGCGAATTTTTGTACCTCTTTTACCATTAGGCCAATTTTGTTTTTTAAGGTGATTATTTCCTTTAGTATTTTTGTGTCTCTTTTTACCAAGCTGTTAATTAATTTTCTTGCATTACTCTCATTTCTTTTCCCAAGTTTTCCTCTACCATGTTTATCTTGTTCCTTAATTCTTCCAGGAATTCTTGCTGACCTTCAGTCCAATTAGCATTTGTCTTTGAGGCTTTGCTTGTAGCTGTTTTCACATTGCTGTCTTCTGAGTTTATCTTGGCATTCTCTGCCACCATAGTACCTGTTTATGATCAAGTTCCTTTTTTTGCCATTGGTTCATCTTCCCAGCTTATTTCTTCACTCTGAACTTTATGTTAAAGCTAGGCTCTGCTCGCCTGGGGGTAGGAAGACAAGCTTCAGTATTTTTTGTGCTGGTCTTTTCAGACCTAATTCTGGAGGTCGTCAGGTTTTCAGTTCTTCCAAGTTAATGTTATTCTGGGAGAGGTATGGTCACTGCTTTCTTGGTCTGCCATCCAGTCTTTACCTGGGAAAGTCCCCTACTCCCCTAAAGCTGCAAGTACTACTGCTTCTCTTGGCCCTGGAACTATGACCAGGGTTGCTGCTCCCTTGTGATTAACCACAAGCTCTCCTTTCCACCCTGGAACTGTAACACAGAATTAAATATGGCAGTAGAGTTACCAGTCAGTGTCAGCTCTACCCAGTGCCAGCAAAGGGTGCCTTCTCATCTCTTTCTGACCAGTTGTCCCACCCCCTTACCATCTCTGGACTGGGAGCTGCCAAAGCTGCTGCTGCTGCTGCCGCCGCCGCCGCCGTCCTGACCGCTTCCAAAGTTGGTCCTCCACTGTGCTCCAGGCCTCTGCCCACCCCAGTGTTACAGACCTCTCCTGTGGACCTCCTAAGTTGTCTTAGGCTAGAAAAATGTCTCCTTCTGATCTTTTGTTGGCTCTGCTGCTCCAGAATTTTATTTGAGGTGTTAATTTAAAGTTGTTAGGAAGGGAATGTTGGGAGAGCTCCATTGGGTCCCTGCTATACCATCTTGGCTCCCCCTCCTCCACTTAGCCTTTCTAATCCTCCGTCTCCACAGCCATACATTGGGCATCAGAGAGACTGGAGAGTCACTAACAGGCCCCACAAAATGATGGGTGAGTGAACTTAGAAGCAGCCTGCTTAAGGGACTATCATGCCTGAGTCTCAAGAATGAGACCTCAGGGAAATGGGACCTGAGGGTCTGGGAGATCACCATGTGGAAATGAGCTGCTCTCTTGCGTGTGAAATCTCCAGCCTTATTAAGTCCAGCTGTGGCTCATTCTTCCCAGTTATGTGGAGGCTGTAGCCAAGTCCTAGCCTGTGTGCCTTTGAGGAGGCTCTAACCTGAGCTATAATAATACTAGGAACTGGGAAGGAACCTTTGGCTTAGTCTGAGAAGGAGGCTCAGAAAGGGGAGAGAACAAGCCGTGTCTTCCTTTCTATCGCCATCATCATTGATTGGTGTTCATTTTGAACTTTGTCTGAGAGCTGGACCCCAGGGGCTTGGGAATAGGGTGGGACAACTTCCTACCAACCAGTTGCCTCTCAGAAGACCCAGGTAATGAGAATTCTGGGGACCATGGACATGTATTAAATAATAGTATAGGATCATAGATTTAGATCTGGAAGGAACTTCGGAAGTTATCTGGTCCAAGGCCCTCCTTATTGCAGATGAGGAAACTGAGGCCCAGAGAAGTAGTGATTTGTTCAATGTCATACATACAGTAGCCCCAGTGGTAGAAACAGGGCTCTAACATACTCGGACTTCAGATCAGAAACAAATTTAGGGTTAGGGTTAGGGTTATAGTCAGAGGCAAATTTAGGGTTACATCTTTACATCAAACCAAGCTGTCATATGTGTGTGTGTGTCATTACATGAAACTAATGAGCAGTGTGACCTTAGGCCATCCACTTTTCTGAGCCTGAGTTTCATCATGTTTGAAGTGAGGATGTAAAACTAAATCTCCAAGGGTCCCCTTCCCCTCTGACCATCTGAGTCCAGGTTTTAATCCTTTATCTCATTTGTTCCTTACAATGAAGTAGGCATGGCAGGGATTATTATCCCCATTTTATAGACAAAGAAACTAAGACTGAGAGAAAGAAAGTGATTTGCTCAAGACCATCCCTTGAAATTACTGGCTGAGCCAGGAGCAGAAGCCAGACCCACCTCTCACCTTTTGGAATTTCCCAGTTCCAAATTGCACATGTGTTGTGGTTAGGAGATAGCCCCATAAAAATGGCAGACACTTGCCCAGCCTCCCTGCTTCTGGTATCCAGGAGTCAAATCTGTTGATTCTTCAGGCCAACCTAGTTTCCTTACCCTGGATCCACTTCAGACAAGAAAGCTAACAGAACAGGGCCTACCCCGTGTTCTCTCCCTCCACCCCTCCTTAACCCCATCAGTGGCCTGGTGTCTGCCTCGTTTTAGGCATCACGACCCTCTTTCTCGGCATTGGGAGCACTGAGGAAGGAGTGGAGATGGGAGCAGCAGATGGAGTTATTTTTCCAAACACCAGAGCGGGGCTGTGGCTTCCCCCCTGGCAGCTGGAGAGAGACTCTCTATGCTCATAAAATGAACACACCCGGTCTGGGAATCAGGGAGATGAGAGTGCAGGGGAATCTTCCCAAGCCTCCAAAAGGATTCTGTTACTCACACTTCTACCCAGACCTTTACGGCAGTCACTGTGCTGTGTGTAGCTACACAGTCACACAGATGGAGCTTAGGGTCTGGAAGAGATGAGGCAAATGCTTACACCTGCTTCCTCTCCTATCTCTTTATCCCCTTCTTTTCTTTCCCACTTTCTTCCCTTATTTATCACATTCTTCATTCTTCTCTGCTACCTTCCTTTCATCCATCTCTCTATCCTTTCTCCTTCCTTTACTGTCTTGTTTTCATTCCCTCTCTTTTTCTTTCTTTTCTTCTTTCTCTTCCCCTTACTACTTCTCTCCTTCCCTATCTCCTTCATACCTTCTCTGTCCCCTTCATTGTCTCCCCATTTCTTCTCCCCCTCTTCCCAATCTTTCCTGGACCATATTTCCTCTTTCCTCTGGCACCAGAGTGGACTTAGATTTTGCTCGCTGCTCAGAGCCTTCTCAAGGGGTATTTGCTTGGGAAAGGCCAGGGTAGGACATAGCCTTTCAAGGTGATCCTATTGTCTTAGCCTGATAATACTGATAGCTCACACTTACATAGCACTTTACAGTTTACAAAGCACTTTCTTTACAACAGTGCTATACCCATTTAGCAAATGAGGAAGCTAAAATTCTGACTCTATATCTAACAGTCTTTTTACTACACACTGACCAGCTAAGTGAGGGCAAGAGGAGCTTTGGTATATTTTTTGTATATCTGTGGATGTCTGTGTTGTCTCACCTGTTAGAATGTATTGTTTCATTTCTGGTATGTATCCCCAGCACCAGGACATTAGCTGACACTAATGATCGTTAGCTGATTGATTGATGCTTGAGTGGCTTTGGGTAGGATCATAGGGTCATAGATTTGGAGTTGGAAAGGACCTGAGAGGCCTTCAGGTGCAACTCGCTCATTTACAGGTGAGGAAACTGAGACCCACAGCGAGCATTCAATGACTGGCCCAGGGTCACGGAGCTAGTAAATGTCTAAGGAGGCATTTGAATCCAGGTCTCACTGACTCCAAATCCATCACCTCTTCACCATTCTAGAGAGTATGTGGTTAATGGTACCCAGGGTCACCATACCTCCCCATGTGATTGATTATTGAATGAAGAAAAGGGAGGGGCATAGTCAGTTGAGTGATATTGTCACCTGTTAACAAACTTCAAAAAATGGTAGAGCCTGACCCCACCCTCTGCTTACTGACTTCCCAACCAGTAGTCAGCAATGGGTGATGGTTGCACCCACCCTTTTGGAGTGGGAGTGCTGCTGGTCCTACCACTAACTCCTGACACACCAGTTCACCTTATACCTCTGATTCCTTAAATCTGACACCTGCTGGAAAAAAAAATCCTTACCTACCTATACAAATCAGAGACCTTCTGCAGCTTAGTAGATAGTTTAATGAGCTGCTGTGGCCAAAAAATATTCCACATCTGATGGCCAGTTAGAGAGGGCAGGCACATGTCATCTCTGGGCCCATGCACTCCTTTTTTTTTCTGGATTGCAAGAACCTGCCAGAGAATTCAAGTTTATTGGTGCTCATTTGGCTGTGTTGCATAGTGATTAGAGAGCCTGCATGGGAACAAAGAGTGCACACAGTCAGTCAGCTTTCACCTCTGATACATACTGACTCTGTGACCCTGGGCAAGTCACTTGACCTCTTGCCCCAGGCAATCCCTAAGACTCTAAACTTCGAGCTGGTAATGATCTACCCTGAAAGAGTTAGTTTCCTCAATGGAAGTTTCCTATACCAAGGAAAATTTCAGATCTAGACCCAAAAGTCCAAATGGGATATCCAGCCCTCTACAGCTTTCAGCACCTTTTCTCTTTTTCTGGGAGGCATAGTGGTGGTCTCCAGTCTCCTCCCACCTCCACCCAAAGAAACCACTTTTCTAACTTCATGGTTTTCTCACTGCAGGGACCTCCTGGAACTCGTGGGCCATTGGGGATGCGAGGAGCAAAAGGACGTCGGGTAAGCTCCCTCAGAGATCTCTAGGGTAGGAGGCCCAGGTAGGCTGTGCTAAGGGGATGAGGTCATGAGGAGAGGAAAGGAGAAGGGAGACAGCGAGTACCAATCCTGACAACCTCCAGGATGTTTGGGAAGTGACCTCTCTTCATCTGAGCTTTCTAAAGAGAACTCCTCTTACATTCCTTTGAGGATCATTCCATTTGCCCTGCCCTTCCCTCCCCCACTGCCAGGCATAGGAGGGATGGGGGTCAGCATGCCTTTTGGCCCAATAAACATCTTTGCCTATGTGGCCAGAGGCAGAGGCCAAACCCAGGTCTGTGGGCAGTACTGATCTCAGAAATGCCCATTCTTCTTTTCCCTCTGTACTTTGGAAGACTAGCCTGTCCAGCCAGCTGTGTACAGATGTACTCTTTGGCTTCTGTCTGCTGTCCTTTGCATTCTCACGTCCCCATTCAACAGCATCACTCTGGTGTAGGGAAAGTGAGGGGGATGAGATATAAGGGTATGGCCTAGCAAATACTGAAATCAGCAGTATTAAACATATCTGTTTAAGCTTTCCCATAAAAAGGCCTCTTTTCAAAACCCTGTGATGGGTGATAGAAGGTTTAGATTTTTTTTTTATTTTTCCAATGCCCTTTTCTCTTCAGATGGATTTCAAGTGGATTTGGCTTTTCCCAAAACCAGATGGTCTGATAAGCCTGTTGGGCTTCGGGGAGATTAAGAGACATTCCTCAGGCCCAGGCAGGAGCTCCTAACTATACTTAGTGTCACAGGGCTCTGTAGGGGGATTCGGTTCTTGTGTTGAGGAAGCCCCTACATGAGCCTAATGCTTTCTTCCCATCCCTCACCATGTGCCGAGAACTCTCAGCTACCCCAGATACTTGCAGCATCCGAGGCTGGGGACCCAGGATTGTCTCACCAACCCCTCTGACAACTGCTTCTGTTCTCCATTCCTTCCCCTTCCTGGAGAGACACACATTCATTTGAAAGCTTGGCTCTGCGGCTTTGGCCTGCATTTCCTCCACAGATGTCAAACCTAAGAGCTCCCCTGTTCCCAGCCCCCTCCACCCTACCCCTTAGCAAGCTCCCTGTACTCTTTTCCCAACACCGAGTAGAAGAATGCATCTTCTACTTGAGGAAACCCAGGCCCCCAACCACATCAAAGTCCCCCAAGCTGAGCATTTTAGGAGGCATCTGGAACCTGCAGAGTCAGGCCTTTCTGGAGCTGTGTATTGTACCATCAAGATGCTCAGAGGGTTTGGGATCCAATCTTTTAAGTCTTTAAGTCTTGTGTCTCCCATATGTAGAATATGTAAATATGAAATATAGAAATAACCACATAATTTACTGTCCCCACCCCCACCCCTTCTGTAGAATAGTGGTAATAATACTAGACTAAGAGTTAGGAGTCCTGGGTTCTCATCCCAGATCTTCCGTATATTCATTGTAAGACCATGGACAAGTCATTTGTTACATTCTCTGTGCCTTAGTTTTCTCTACTGTAAAATGGGTCTTAGACTAGGCAACCTCCAAGTTCCCTTCTAGCTTTGCCTGGCTGGGAGGCAAACCTCAGTAATATGGGTGACACAGAATTTTGGATTTGTGTAATGTGGTTGCCTTTCCAAGGGAAAAATTGGAGCTGAAGAGAGTTAGTCATTTTATGGAATGGGAAGTGTATGTGAAGTGGGGTTCTTTCACCCAGTAAGGAAAAAAAACTGGATTTGTAGTCAGAGGGCCTAAGTTTGAATCCTTGCTCTACTATGTACTAAGCCTAAGTTTCCTCATCTGTAAAAGCTTGAACCTCCCCATACTGCAAACAAGTCTTTGGGGTCCCTCCAGCCCCCAGCCCCAGCCCTGAGAACTCCCAGGTACATGTTGAGTTTAGAGACACCAGGGGTGGAGGATGAACAGTCTGAGAGGAGACCCTGAGAGGTAATTGGACAGATTTGTCATTCTCAGTGGGTTTCCAATACAATCTTAATCAGGTCTGGAATGGAAACATTCATGAGATGGAGAGTGTTCATTCCAGGCAAGCCAGACTCACAGGCCCATCTTCCAGGACTTAATGAAAAGCATCTCACTTGGGGGAGCAGATATGAAACCATTGTCATATGGCTTTGATTGTAACCAATCTCCACAACCTGGAGGGCTGATGAAGTCTGCACTGTATTAGTTTGGGAATGGGGGTGGTGGGGGGAATGTGTAGTTGAAATTTTAAATTAGCAGCCAATCACATTTTAGTTCAGCCCTCTTGTTTTGGGCCATGTTTGTGCTTCTTTCCCTGACCTCACATCCAGGGCCATCCCTAGGGAGCCTTGGAGCTCAGGGTAAAATCATACTGTGTGGCTCACTTTCTCCCCCCACTCCTGCCCCAATCCCCTTGAACATATGGATCCAGGTGAAATCTGGCTAAAAAAACGCACATCAGAGGCAGCCTTGGAGGGAGAAAGAACAGAATAAAGATTTAGCATGGAGCCCTGCAACCTGTCTGATGTACATCAACGGATCTCAGTTCTTTTTCACATCAGCTGAGGGGGCCAAATCCTTCTTCCTACTCTCTTCTTCAAAGCATGGGGCCCGGGCATGTTGCTCTGTTTTTCTATCTTTTTTTAAACTCTACTTTCTGCTATAAGGTCTCAAAGTGAGATGGGAACTCATAGGTTTGCTTCTTCCAAAGTCTTCTCTCTGGTCATCTCATGGGAGGGCAGAATCACTCCCATCAGAGAAGGACATGAGATCACAGAATCCGGTGAGCAGTAAGGACCTTACACTCAGATTTGTTTATACTCTGAATCTTGGTTCTTCTCAACCTTTAAGAAATGCTGGATGAGAGCTCTCCTATAAAGGCCAGAAGAGAATCCTAAGGACCTCCTAATTAGGAGAGGGCCAACCCTCCACCATTTGTAGGTAAAAAAAATACCCATTAAAAACATCTCAAATTACTCCCTTTCCTTACCCTCTCAACTAAAACCAAAACTCAATTAGGGTCCTGGACTTCTTTCTCAGCATCCTATATGGTCTTCAGGCATGATTCTGTCAATAACTTTCTCAGTCCTACGAAAGGAAATTTAATTACTATATTCAAGCTTGGCCCTTGTGATCCTAAAGGGATATTGAGCTAGGGAAGAAGACATTTTCCCTGGCTATCCAGTCACCCACTCCCTAGGCAGAGACCCACCTATCTTGGGACATGACCTCCAAGCCAGTATCTCAGGAATGTTTAAACCAGGAGTACTTTTTGTGTCATGGCAGTCTTTGGCAGTCTATTTAATCCTATGCTCCCTTTCTCAGAATAATGTTTTTAAATAATTAAAGGAAATGTTGAATTTCAGTTAGAGGTTAATGAAAATAAAGATGTGATTTTTTTCTATCAAAGTTCATGGAACCCCTGAGATCTATCCGTGGGCCCACTGGGGGTCCATGGACCCAAGGTTAAGAACCCCTGGTTTAAACATTCTAGCTGATCCAACAAGATCTTTGCCTTACTGCTCCTTTCATTCTAGTAAGGACTCAAAATAGTCATAAACTTAATTTCTAAGCCTTAATGAGCTAAATAACTGGGCCATTTACCAGACCATTCTGAAACTCAGCTTTCCCCCTGCTAGAGGAGGACAGCTCCTGCCCCTCCCTTCCCAATGAGATCACATCGCAGTGTGGGTGTACCACCGATGGAGCAGGGTGGACCCAAGCTCTTTGGCCAGCCTGCTTTGGGGCTGAGAGTCAGGCTATCCCCCTGCTATGCTTGTCCCTAGCTTTGTCTCACCCACAGGCTGCCTGGCCCCATGCCTCCTCCTTTGTCTGACTCCCTTGTTGCTTTGGGCCAGACAGGAAAGGGCGAGTTTTGTTCATCTACTCTTGGCTCGGAGGACTGAGTTCTTTGGCAGCACGGTGTCAACCTCTGGCAGGAGTCGATAGGAATGTCAGCTGTACCCTTCTGGGTCAGACTGATGGGCTGTCCAGCTCAGGACTCTTTCTGATAGGGGCACCATGGTGAATTAGCTATTTGGCATAGTGGATTGAGATAGATGAGGGTGCTCTCTACTATAAACTCCCCAGCATAGTGGATAGGGCACTGGACTTGCAGTCAAGATGATCTGGATTCAAATCCCACCTCAGATATTTGCTAGCAGTGTGACCCTGGGCAAGTCACTTAAGCCTCAATTTCCTCAATCTGTAGAATGACGATAATAATAGTACCTACTTTAGGAGTTGTTGTGAGGATGAAATGGGATAACACATACAAAATACTCTGCAGACCTTAAAGCCATGAATGCTAGCTATTTTTATTATGATGACTGAGTGTCCTAAGGAGATTAGGGATGTTTCCCTAACATGGAACACAGAATGTTAGCACCAAAAGGATCACCAGGAACGTTTAATTCAACCTTTTTAATTCTACAAATGAAGAAAGGGAGGGAAAGGGATTTGCCCACGGCCACATGGCTAGTAAGGAGTGGAGTTGGACCTCAGCTCTCCTGTGTCCTAGTCAAGCATTCTTTCTGCCCCATCATTCCTGTCTGATACTTTGAGACTAGGTCTTTATTCTAGTAATGAAGATGAGTTTTTCAAAGCAAGTTTCTTTCAGTCACACTTTCCTGGCATCAGATCCATTTGAACCTAGTCCTTCCTTCAGACTTTTAACACACTGATTTTTCTTGATATTAGGACTGGGGCCTAAGCACGGTCATAAGATTTAGAGCTGGAAAGGATCTCGGAGAGGATCCCATCCAGCCCTTTCACCCCACAGATGAGGAAACTGAACAAAGAAAAGGAAAGTGGTGTGTCTATGGTAATACCAATGAGGATTGTCAGAGTTGGGATTTGAATGTATCAGGCTACCTAGGCCAATCCATACCTGTACTGGATTCCTTGACAAGTCATTAATCAGCCTATGCTTGAATACTTCTAGTAATGGGGAACCCACTCCTTCCCAAGACAGTTCTAAGGGTTAGAAATTAGAAAGCTCTAGTTGTTAGGAAGTTTTTCCTTATGTTGAATATGTC